ATATATATATATATGAGTACTGGGAAATCTTTGACTGCTAAAGAAGCCTTGAAGGGTGAGCAGAGAGGGACAGGAAGCCTTGGAAGCACCAGCCCTGTTAAAACCCTTTTCCCTTATTTTGCAGATTTGCCTCAATCGCCGGTGCCAGAACACGAGTGTTTTTGGGGTCCACAAATGTGCAACAAAGTGCCATGGACGTGGAGTAAGCATTATAAAAACACTGTTTTTATAATCAGTCAATAACCATTGGACAAGAATTCACTTTATGTTATAGCTTTGGGATCTACCATTGTTTGTAATAGATAAGTCAAAGTCAGTGCAGTAATTTTTTATTATGTATTTGCGTTTTTACTGTCCCTTATCTGAAATTATTTTTATTTGACAAAGAAATATTTATCAGGCAGCAATTATCTTGTCCTTAATTAACAGTCTGTGGTACAAAGGAATTTTGTCATCTTCTAAGCAATTTTAAGTCTAACCTTTCATCATGAAGAATTCCCATTAATAGTTAAAAAACCCAGTTTCTCCATAGATACAAAGAAATTAAAATTTTTGAATTGAGCATTTGAATCATTTGAATTGAGGGGCAGATGAAAAAGCATTTCCAAAAGTATGAAAATAAAGGGAAACCTTGTTGATGAGTTTCATGGCATGAAAGTGGTGCAGGATGAAAAATCTGATGATATCATTTAATAATATCAGTGTTTTGAAACCCAATTTATATTATGATAATGTTAATTATGTCAAGCTATGCCTTATTAACCTTGATTTGCTGATGAGCTGTTTGTTTCTGTGAAAAGCTGTGGTAACCACATTAAAGAACCATAGAAATTCACTGTCCTCTCTTGAGAAAGAATCTGAATTTCCTTTAACCTGTTTTATCCCTCTGAATTTGACAAACTGAGCAGTGTTGATGGTGCTGCCTGTTATCATTGAGCTCAAATGAGCAGCAGCTTGGATTGGCATCTTTAAATCTGTGCAGTGGAAACTCTCTGGTGCCTCCTGAGTGGCAAAAAATGACCTTGTGGAATTTTAAATGAGAACTCCTGTAGTGCTTTAATTTTAAAAAAAAAAAAAAGCTTAACAAAGTATAATTTTAATTATCTTCTTGTCTTTGAAAAGTAAATCATTTATTTTTTAATTTTACATGACCACAGCCAGTCTGGGGTCTGTGAATGATATTTCATTACTCTGCAGACACAGCCAGGATAGTGTTTCTGAGAGCCTGCCAGCTGACCTGGCCAGAAAAATGCATATTCAGAATAACCCAAACTCCTGGGAACTGATTTGTGTCTTACTGAGAAACCCATTTATGAATCTGTGCTGTGGGTTCTCCATGGTAATGGTGGATCAGAGATGATCAGGGTTAGCACAGAATTGAGGGCCATATTAACAATGAGCCTTAAGCCAAAAAACTTCATTTTAAAGTCAATTTGAGCATCTACAGGTGACTGTGACATCTCAGTGTTCAGTTTTAGGAGCATGTCCGGAGATGGGAACAGAGCTGGGGAAGGGTCTGGCGCACCAGGAGTGGCTGAGGGAGCTGGGGGGGTTCAGCCTGGAGAAAAGGAGGCTCAGGGGGGACCTTCTGGCTCTGCAACTCCCTGACAGGAGAGGGGAGCCAGGGGGGAAAGTCAGGCTTTGCTCCCAGGGAACAAGGGACAGGGGGAAACAGCCTGAAGCTGTGTCAGTGAGGTTTAGATTGGATATTGGGGAAAATTTCTTCACCAAAAGGGTTGTCCAGCCCTGGCAGAGCTGCCCAGTGCAGCGGTGGAGTCCCCATCCCTGGAGGCATTTAAAAGCTGTGTGGATGTGGCCCTTGGGGACATGGGTTAGTGGTTAATGATGGGACTCAGTGATCTTAGAGGGCTTTTCCAACCTAAACAATTCCATGATTCTGTGTATTCTGTCAATTCAGCACAGAACTTTACCCTCTGTATTAACCACACAGCCACTCCTTGGGTGGTAGCAAAATGAAATAAGAAGCATTTGGACTGTGGGACCTCCTGAGGAAAAATCCACGACTCTACTGGCTCCGTCTGCTCCGTGCAGTGGGAACAGGCTGATGTTAGTGATGGGCTCCAGCCCTCTGGAGCTCTCTTATTCTGCAGGGGGCATTTGATAGATCGGTCTTGCAAACTGTTTTTTAACTCAGACTAAAACCACCAGAACAGAGAGGACGGTATCTTTAGAGACAGTGCAGGTGTGATATCAAAGCTCCCTGAGGGTTTCCTCAGCTCTGATCCCAGTTTCACAACTAGTTCATCTTGGAGCAGTGGAAAAATCAGTACACAGGCTAGTTGCAAGCCTTAGGATAGGATAGTGGGCTGACAGAGCTTTACAGCCTCAACACCACGGGGAGACTCCTGCTCCTGTGGAGGCAGAAGGAAGTTAGTTTAACAGAAGTTAGAAGGCAGATAATGCTGCTGGAAGCAAAGAAAGAATAAGACTTCAGAGGTGTCTGATTATCCTGATATTATTGATGTTGTCAGCTGGGGCAACTCCAACGATTACCTGCCAAATAAATAACGTTGTTTAGGATCCCTCTTTCTTGGTGCTGAGTTGCTCCATCCCACCTTAGCTGTGCCAAGAGCCAGACACCAGCACAGATCTTTTTTTCTGCAAGTTTTATTCCTGTCACTGTCTGATTAGAAGCCCTTTTCAGCCAGGGCTGCTCTCAGACGTTAAGGGTAATCCTTTTGGTGCTCAGCCATTTGTCTTGTTTTGCAGGTCTGCAACAACAAGAAGAACTGTCACTGCGAGGCCGACTGGGCCCCCCCGTTCTGTGACAGGCCAGGCTTTGGTGGCAGCGTGGACAGTGGACCCATCAGACAGGCAGGTCAGTGTTAATCCAGGTTTTACCTGCTGTTTCCATGACAAAGAATGGAAATACAAAGTGTCACCTTGTAGGCAATGAACTTGCGAGATCGGGAAATAAGTCAGTAAATCAAATGGCTTCGTCCAAATGCTTTGCCACCAGCTTGGGAATTTAGGAAGCAAAGCCAAGGCAGGCTGAGAGCATCAATTTTCTTGCATAACTAAAGGCAGAATAGTCCTGGAGGGTTCTTTTCTTTGCATTTCTTTTTATTTTTTTTCAAGATACATGGTCAAGTTTAGTAGCTGACTGCAGTAAGTAGGAAGTGGTATTGACTGAAGCTGAGGATGAGGAGCCGACTCCCACACTTGAGCTGATCCTGTTGCCATGGTAGATGAACATTGCAGTACTCCTGGATTCACCCTGAGACATGCCAAGCTCTGGTGTTCTCCACTGACTGTATCAGGATGGAAATCCCTTAGCTATGTGCCTAATGAAGAGTGGGTATTGCAAAGATTATAAATGCAAAATTATTATTTTCTATAATTTGTATTTCAGTTTCCCCTTGTTGGGTCTGCAGAACGTTGGTTATAGTATCTTACTTCTCTTTGGCCAACCTCAGAAAGAATTATTTCTACACATTGCTAAGTTTATGGGATTTATGACTGAGTATGTGACAGGACAAGCAATCTACTCACATATACATATATAAACTAAAACTTGATGGAAAATAATGCCTGTTTTCATATGAATAATACTATTCTAAACCAAAATGGATTCTCTTTTCTACACACCAGATGCTGCAGTGAGTTGCAATACTGGATTTATGACACCATGGTCATTTCCATGACAAAGCTTCACATTATGATTTCACTATTGAAACATTCTTTTTTTTAAATGATAGCAAAGAAACCATGGTCAGGCACTGAATAAATGTCATTATTTGTGTTGAATGTTGCCTTTTAAGGTATTCTTTAAAGCATTATAGTCCTTTTTCAGCTTACCTGAAAACTAAGTCACTGGAGAAGACAAATATATATCTTTGATACTTCTAACATTTTATGCTTTGATAATTCTTGAATTTTGTGTTTTGGAAGCCAACACTTCAGCTTAACAGAAAATTGTTTTAGCATTGGTTTAATATAGTGTTTTAGTTTCACCATTTTTCTCCAAAGAGAATGTTATATTTAATAATACAGTGAATAAAAAAAATGGAAATTTCCAGAGGAATTTTCTGCAGTTGGCACTTGGATTTTACCCAGCTGACTTGCAATAAACCAATGTGTTTGACACTGTATTTTTCTTACAAAGAAGGCTTAAATATTTAACTGTTAGGTAGAGAAGGGAATTAATTTAAATTACATCCTCTTAGCTTAGTGAGGTGTTTATTATTTGAGATTTATTATTTTTATCATTAGATGATTGGATTTGATGATATTAGAGGTCTTTTCCATCCTTAAAGGTTCAATAATTCTGCAGTGCTGTAAGGTCCCCATCAAGCCCCACATCTCAGTCAGTGCTGACTGTTCCCCAGCATCCCAGTGAGTTCAGGTCAGTGGATAGGAGCCAGCTGGCTGGGAATCAGCTGGGATAAGCCAGAGCCAGTGATGATAGGTTACCAGAGCAGAGATTAAAGAAGTTTCCCCTACTGTGGGAGTGTGCATTTTTCAGGTCAGCAGTCCTGAAGAATCACAACATCCTCTCCTCCAGGCAATGATCGTATCACATCAGAGCTGCCGCTCACCTCTTCCTAAAAGTGAGGCTTCCTTCCAGCTGCAAGTCATCTAGGCAGGGTTCATCTCACTGTTGTGCCTCATTTAGGTCCCAGCAAGGTACTTAAAGCAGCTTAAAGCACTCTACAAACTGGAGCAAGTCCAGCAGTCTGCAGCCACTCACTAGGCAGAGCATCCCTCGGATCCTTCAGCTCCTCGCTTGCCTCCACGTTTGATTCGACAGCATCTGGGCTGAGCCCCAGCTGTGCAGATTTCAGACTGTTTGCCTGGTGTTAAAGCACAATGAAACCCCTAAAATCTCTTTATAAAGGAGCTGGATCACTGCTTATGTCTGAGGGATGGAATACATGAAAGTCTGGATGTTACCAAACTCTGATCTCAGCATTTCTGATCCTTTTCCCTCCCTCTCAGCCTCTGTCCCCCTCTCACCCTGGCAGCAGGAAGAAAATTCCAGTTGGCATTGCATATCCACAATCATCTGGTGGGTGTCAGGACCTGAACATAGGTGCAGAGAGAGAGAATATATGGAGGTATTCAAGAGAAGAGAAAAGAGAAGAGAAGAGAAGAGAAGAGAAGAGAAGAGAAGAGAAGAGAA